TAGTAAGCCAAACCCCCCCCCCCCCCCCCCCACCTGTTCTCGATATTCTCTACATTTGTAGACATCTCTGGCCTCTGTGTAAATGCAACCAAGTCTAATGCCTTAAATATATCTCTTGATCCCTCATTGCTCTCTCAAGTGCAATCCAATTATACTTTCACCAGGACCTCGAAACTCCCTTATTTCAAAGTCTATCTCTCTCCATCCTACAGTACTCTTTGCAGATCAAACTACCCCTCTATTTTTTCCATTCTCTCCCGACATTTAAATAAATGGAAAACTCTTTCAATATCATTGTTCTGTAGGATCCATACAATGAAGATGAATTATCTTCCTAAATTACTTTATTATTTTTTGGCCCAATTCTATTCCCCAGACATACCTTACACATTGAACAAAGTCAAATTCTTAAATGTATCTGGCGCTCTATGAAACTTACAGGGTGTGCCTGATTTACACAAATATTACCTAGAAGCGCAAATCACCCCATTGGCCAGCCTCCACAATACTCAAAATTTACCACTTTATCTTTATCTTGATTTCATAGAATCTTCATCATTCTCTATATACAATTGCCTGAAGCTTTGAAATTCAACCTTGCTCCATTCCATTAAACAATGGTATGCTTTGAAGTTTTCTAGCAAGTTGATCTCCTTCTATTTGGCATATTGCACTGCCTCCTATTCTGGCATATGAAGAACCTACTGACTTTAAATACTGGGTTTCCAGGGAAATTAAATATTCCCACCAGATGTTTACTATTCAGGAGATTAGATCATTTGAAAACCTTAGAAAATCATAGAAGATCGCTATGCTCATATAAAACGCTTTCTTGTTTCTATCTATCGTGGTCATACTACATCCCTCTTTTTGTTGACTAGCTTTGCAGACAGATGCCTCCGCCATACAAGACCCACTGAGCTAATCTCCTATTTGTATAGAGACCTAGGCTCCACAATGGCATCCAAACAATACTCTTATGTGTCAAAATGGGAAGTGGGCCTGTGCGGCATATTTAACAATGTGGATTTGAATGCCATCTGGCTGAATGTAGCACTTCCAATGTTATTGCACTTTTATAAGGTTTTAATGTCCTGGTATCTAACATCAGATAGAATTGCTAAATATGTTCCTGTCACCTCTCTTAAGTACTTTTGAGGTTGTACGTCTATTGGATCCATGCTTTATATTTGGTAGAATCCCCCAAACTGAACAATGTATGAATTTTTGTATACAATCTTCCTAGAACTCTACACTGTAACCTTTCCTGTAATACGTGGGAGGCTCTCTTTTTAATAAGAAACCACAGTTTCTTGATACTACAAATTATAGTGATATCCTGGAAACAACCTACCCTTAACTTTGATGAAGTGGAGCAAAGACTAATAGGTTCCTTGGTCAACGGAAAACTCCCAACAATCCTAAATGATTCCTATGAGAAATCTCTTCAAGTCTGGTCTGGATTATCTATGCCCTTTAGGCCTACAATTAGCACCTTATGACTACTTTGCGCTCTTGGTTTACCTCACTTTTTCTCTATCTTTTTCTTTCCCTTTCAACTTTCTTTTACTCTCCTTTCTCTCCTTTCCCCTCCTTCCCTCCTGCTTTTCTTCCCCGTTCTCTAGACATTGCAATTTCCTTCTATTTCAGTTTCCTCTTCTTTATGTAGTTTTTCCTTTACTGCTTACATTTTCAGCATCTTACTCAAACCACCATAGTGCTTACTGGTTCTATTAGGAAAATAATTATTTATGAAATGTTTTCTGTTGCTTTGGAAGTTTATGCTAGGCTGCTGATTTATGTGGTATCACTTTGTCAGTTTAGTCCTAATTCATGTGGTGCAATGTTGTGAACGCAGTTTCTATTGTTGTCTGTATTTTCCTATTTTCTAAAGCCAAATAAAACTCTTAAAAGAAACCATAGAAGTCAGACAGTCAGACAGACACATTAGGATGGTACAGTTCCATATTTAGTTGTCTTCTACAACAGCGTGTTCAGCCAATAATGATTGTTATTGGCAGTAGAGGATAGTTGGCCAAATTTTAAAGTTTATTGGGGATGATAGAGCAGAAGTTCCTAATGACAGAGGTATTTTGGATATCTAGTGCAGAACAGGAACAGGTATATTGCTTTAGGGTCCCCAGAGACAGCATAGGTACTAATGTAGATATCAGGGAGCAATGAAGACAAGCTGGTGCTGAAGTGTAAATGAGGACATGGCAGAAACTAATGTGAAAGTACAAGGTTTATGCAGACATGCAGGGACATAATCATTGCAGGCAAAGGCATACTTTGAGTTGTAAGGCGGAATTAAAAGCCTCACTAAGGTGCAGGTTTTGGAAGTGCCAGGTCTTCACCATTTACATCTAATGAGATCTGAACATCACCATCAAATGAATGAAAACATGGCACAAGGAGATTATGGTATATTTAGAATTGGAAAACAGCAAAAATAATGTTAAAGTTGAAGTGTTGCTTTTACTCCACTTTATTTTTATATTTTTAAATTGACATTCATAGCCTAGGGTGTGTGTTGAATGCTGCATAGACATAGCCTGACCACTTTGCTGAATATTACTTGGAGAGTTATTCACAAAGCTGCCGGAGGCAGCTGAGTGTGTAACCCACCCGAAGTGAAGTGAGCCAAACGCTGTTCGGCTATTCACATACATCGGCTGAAATCAGCCGTACATCGGCTGGCTTCAGTTCAGCCGAACATGCTCAGCATGTTTGACTGAGCCGAAGTGAAGAACACGCTACTCGCTGCCGTTCGGCCTATTCTCATAGGGGCCGAACGGCAGTGAGTGAATAGCCGAATGCCTAAAATCAGTGGAAAAAGTAGAAGAAAAAAAAAGTAGAAAAAAATGTAAAAAATGTAAATAAATGATTAATTTAAAAAAATATATAAAGATTTATTTAAAAAAAGGAAAAAAAACAATTGGGCGCAGCTAGCAGTAACAGCTAGCTCCGACCAACTGTTTCCTATTGGCCGGGACCTGCTATAGTCTTTTAGCTGGTCCCGGCCAATGAATAACAACTAAGCGGAGCCGGCCGTGATGTCACGGCCGACTCTGCCCACTTGTCATTGTTTAATGACAGTTCAGCATCCCCAGGTAACTTGGGGACGCTGATATGTCATTGCAACTGGGCGGAGCCAGCCGTGAGATCATGGCTGGCTCCACCCAGCTGTCAGTTGTGAGGCTTTCGGCTGGCCAATGGCTGGCCATTCGCCCTGCTTTGGGTGTCACTTTGGCTCAGTTGAGCCGAAGCATATGCCTTCGTCTCAACTGAACCAAAGGGCTCCGGCGACCGAAGCTAGCCGAAGGAACAGCCGGAGCTACGGCTGATCCTTCGGCTAGCTTTGTGAATAACCCTATTTGTGTTTAAAGCAAACTCGAAGTGTTACTTACCCTCCTAATCATGCTCTGTCAGCTCGTAACAGACACCTCTAGTAACCTGAAGTCAGGCCTTTCCTCAGTATAAGTATCCCAGGTTCCTGGAATGCCCAGTTTCTCTAAAATATAGCCCTTACTTTTCTCTAAGCTGTATTATTGGCACATTACCATTATGATGAGTCTTACTAGCCAAAAATGGGTCATAGTAGGCAGAGAGTGGTGGAGTCAGGCCCCTGACCCAGTGACCCAAAAGAAGTATGTAGAATCATAATTTTGGATTTAGCTTCATTCTAGGATATTCCATTTTAAACTGTAATTATCACTGATTAGCCACAGCTGTATCATCTCTTAAAGAAGTATAAAACCTTATGTGTACATGGTCTGTATAGCTGAATGACTGAAATGTTTTTCATAATTTTTTATATTCTGCTAGGTAGAACAAATAAATACAATTAATATATCCTAACAATTGTCAGTTTTGAGTCACTAATTACTGTTCATGGCTAGCCACATAATGAAAAATTAACTGAAAGATACCCTGTTTTTCAATACAAGCACGCCTACGATCCTATTTTTGCGGACATTCCTATCACACGAGAACAGATGAATCACTACCGGATAATTGCTGAAAATTCTCACAGTGAACTGGCAGCTCTGTATGTAAAATATGAAAGTGCACAGTCAGAGGTAAGTGTAAACTGAAGTATGAATGTCTACATAAATGTTATCTGTTCCTTTGTATCTTATACATTTCAACCATCTGTTTAAATTGCCCACGGCTTGACCATGTACATATGCCCATCACATGTAGAGCCCCTCTTACCATGAGTATGTTAATTATAGGTTGTCACACGTAAAGGTGATTATGGTGAATACATAAGGAGCTAGTAATACTGATTCCCAATCAAAGATTACTGCCAATTAACTGATAAAGTAATGTTCACTAAGGGGTCTATTCACAAAGCAGCCGAAGGATCTAGACGTAGCTTCGGCCGATCCTTCAGCTAGCTTCGGCCCCAGGATCCCTTCGGTTCAGTAGAACCGAAGGGCTGCTGTACGGGCTATACACTATAGCCCGTACAGCTCCCGAAGTCGGCCGGGCGGCTCAGTCGAGCCGAAGGCATATGCTTCGGCTCGACTGAGCTGAGAAGAAAGCTGAAGCTGGCCGAGCGGCCGGCCATTGGCTGGCCGACAGCCTGCTTCTTACAGCTGGGCAAAGCCAGCCGTGATCTTACCAGCTAACCAGGGACACTGATCTCCAGACAGCCTAACTCTACCGGGCGCTCCGGGAGTATCCCGCTCCCCACTGCCCAGGAGAGAAACACTGGAGCCGTTGGCTGGCGTCAGAATAAGAAAAAAAAAAATTCACCATAGGAATGCATTGCTAGATTCCTATTGGCTATTTCAATTTGCAATAGCCAATAGCAAACTAGCTATTGCACCTGCCCTCTGCTGCAGTTCTCCATCAGGTCCCCACTAGTGATTGACAGCATCAGAGGGCGAGTACAATAGCTAGTATTGCAGCAATGATGGAGAGTGAGGGAAAATGTTTTGCCCCCCACTCTCCCCCCATGTTTTGCCCCCCATAATCTGTTTACACAAAAAATACATTTCCAGAATAGCATTTCCTTGGTCTCAAAGGTTGAAAAGAATTTACAGAGAGATTACATAACACAATATTTTTACCCCCCCTCAATCCTTTGTTCAGGATAACAACCAAGTGTTTAATGCATTGTTAAAACCTAACATTATGGTTGATTTAGTAAAGGTAAATAGGCTGTCCCCTTTGCAAGGGGATTTTCCTTTACATTAGTGAATGTGGTGAAGATTCACGTTGCAAAGAATAACTAATCACATGCAAGAATGGTGAAAGCCAGCAGAGCTTCACCTTATTCTCTAAGCTAAGATAAAACTTCCTTGCAAAGTGAACAGCCTATTTGCCTTTAGTAAATCAACCTCTCTGTGTGTTTGTTAGTTGCTAGAAGTTCGGACTAAACTTTCCTCCAAAGAGATGGCATTACAAGAACTTAAGGCTGAAGTGGAAAACTACAGGGAAAACAATGCACGACAGTCTGCAATGATCACATCTCTAAGAGCAAGAGTGCATGAAACAGAGGAGGAAACAGGTCTGCTGGCTACCTCCAAGTCTAGGGCAGAATCAACCATTCAGGCAGTTCTTCATGAAAACCAAGAACTAAAAGACAGACTCCAGGAAATGGAATCTAGGCTAAAGTAAGCCAAATATTTGTTTTGCCATTTATTATGTTACATTAATGCTTCCAATTGTTTTTCTGTTTTGTTATGCAATGAATTGTGTTTTTACCTTAATCTAGAACTTATGTTGCTCAGTGGGAGGACAGCAAATCGCAGGCTTCAAGGTATAGCAGGAATTATGGACATTTCCTGGCACAACTGTCTGCCTGCTTGAATATAAACAAAACAGGCCACAAGGATTCAGAGGAACTGGTAATTTCCAAGGTAGTTATAAAATATCACATGCTATTAATAATTACCGCAAAGCTTAGGTACTTTAATGGTACTGAAAGTCCAGTTAAAGGCATGGATTACTGTGAACCTCCAGACAAACAGCTAAATATACAGTTAAAATACATATATTTACCATTTTACCTGTAAAAGGATTGGCTTTTCTGTAGTCTTGTGATTTACACACGTTTTACACACTGCACAGCCACAATGGTGACAAATGTATTTACTGATTGTTACTCATCTACTTGGCTTAGCAACTGAGCTTCATATATCACCTCTCCAACCTCCAGGCTTCTCATTTGACATTAAATCAGCATCTTCAGCATCACCAGCGGTAAACTGGTCCAGGAAGCAGTAACCCTAAGCCAGGGAATAGCAGAGTTATCCCACTGACTAGCATACCTGTGTCTATCACAAAAAGGTTGGGCAAAATTGCAAGGGTAAATTAGTAAACATATAGGGGTCTATTCACGAAGCTGCCGAGGGCAGCCGAGTGAATGACCGATCTGAAGTGAAGTGAGCCGAACACTGTTCGGCTATTCACTTCAGGCTGGTACGGCTGATTTGAAGGAGTTCGACTCAGCCGATCCAACATCTGGATCGGCTGAGCCGAACCTCCGGCAGGCTTCTCACTGCTGTTCGGGCTATTCTTAAAGATGCCGAACAGCAGCGAGTGAGGGAGGGACCGAGCAGAACAGAAAAAGAGTGAAAAAGTAAAAAAAAGTAAATAGAAAACGATTGTGTGGTGCTAGCAGTGACAGCTAGCTCCGCCCAATAGTTTCCTATTGTCCGGCGGCTCTGCTGCTGTAAAAAAAAAAAAAGAAAAAACAAAACTCGCTCCCAGCCGCCAAGGAGAGAAACACTGATGTGTCTTTTTTTCTTTATTCTGACACGAGCTGTCTCAGAATAAAGAAAAAAAAAATGTTCCCATTGAAATGCATTGAGACATTACTATTGGCTATTTCAATTTGCAATAGCCAATAGTAAACTAGCATTGTACCCGCCCTCTGCTGATGGACCTGATGGGGAACTGAGTGAATAGCCCGTACAGCACCCCTTCGGTTCTACTGAACCAAAGGGGTCCTGGGGCCGAAGCTAGCCGAAGGATCGGCCGAAGCTACGGCCAGATCCTTCGGCAGCTTCGTGAATAGACCCCATAGTATGTATATCAACTGTGCATTTAGCTATTTGCAGACAATTACAATGGTTGTCTGTGCCTTATGTCAATTCTTTTGCATTGTTTTGACAGATTTATAACTAGTAGATGCATGAGGACCCCATGAACTAAAATTGTTTTTGACCATTTTGCATAGATGTTCCCTTTTTGTCCACAATATGTACACTATGGTGCACTCCAAATTCCCTTTTTGAATATGTGCCTATAAAATACTATGGGGTCTAGTCACTAAGCTGCCGAAGGATCTAGCCGTAGCTTCGGCTGATCCTTCGGCTAGCTTCGGCCCCAGGACCCCTTCGGTTCAGTAGAACTGAAGGGCTGCTGTTAGGGCTATTCACTATAGCCCGTACAGCTCCCGAAGTCGGCTGAGCGGCTCAGACGAGCCGAAGGCATATGCTTCGGCTCGACTGAGCCAAGGTGAAAGCCAAAGCTGGCCGAGCGGCCACTTGCAGAGAGATCAGCGTCCCTGGTTACCAGCTAACCAGGGACACTGATCTCCAGACAGCCTAACTCTCCTGGCCGCTCCGGGAGTCTCCAGCTCCCGGCCGCTCAGAAGAGAAACACTGCTTTCTCTTCTTTTATTTTTATTCTGACAAGGAGCCGTGTCAGAATAAAAAAAAAAAAAAATTCACCATAGGAATGCATTGCTAGATTCCTATTGGCTATTTCAATTTGCAATAGCCAATAGCAAACTAGCTATTGTACCCGCCCACTGTTGCAGTTCTCCATCAGGTCCCCACTAGTGATTGACAGCAGCAGAGGGCGGGTACAATAGCTAGTTTGCTATTGCAAATTAAAATAGCCAATAGGAATCTAGCAATGCATTCCTATGGCGAAAATGTTTTTTTTTTTTGTGACGACAGCAGAACCGCCGGCCAATAGAAAACAGTTGGGCGGAGCTAGCTGTCACTGCTAGCTCCGCACAATCGTTTTCTATTTATTTTTTTCAACTTTTTTAACTATTTGAGCATGTTTGGTTGACCCGAAGCCACTAGATGTACGGCTGATTTCAGCCGATATACGGCTAAAATCAGCTGTACCATTCTGAAGTGAATAGCCGAACAGCATTCGGCTCACTTCGCTTTAGGTCGTCATTCACTCGGCTGCCTACGGCAGCTTAGTGAATAGACCCCTATATCTTTGTGAAGCCACTTTAGGATCTGGTGTGCCATCAAATTAGGATCTTGACATCAAATTAGTGTTGTTTTTTGGCTTTTGTTTTCTTTTGTGTGATTTGTTTATAATATAATTGAAAAGCTAAAAAGCCAAAGCACATTGTAAAACAGGAACTAATACTAGTCTGCCATATTCTCATTTTTTTACATTTTCCGAATGGTATGTTCGCCGAACACGTGAGAAGCCTTTCTGCATTGGAAAGGTTTCAAAGCCTCTCTTTGGGGACTGCTTGTTTTATTTGGCATACAGACAGTACCCAAAACACAGTATATGTCCATTCACATTCAGCGTTAGTTCATTGAGAACGTGTTCACACCAATTGCATTGTTGTACATTTTGCTGCTTTTCCAGTCTGTGTTAAACAGGAAAAAATCAATTGGGGTCTATTCACAAAGCTGCCGAAGGATATGGCCGTAGCTTCGGCCGATCCTTCGGCTAGCTTCAGTGTTCAGTAGAGCCTGTTGGTTCACATCAACATGTTGCATAGAAGTGAGTTGGAAAACAAACCTGCATGCTGCATTTTTCATGCATTGAACTGCATTTTGTCATTCAAGTCAGTAGTTCATAAAAAATGCAGCACAAAATATTTTAAACAGGCTTAAAAAAAAAAAAAAAAGACAATACGCAC